GTACTTACCGTGGGTACAAATCAGATGATGTGTCATCAGTAGATTGAGTCCTTGTCGGTAGATCGTGTATCCAAATGATTGCACCATGTCGATCCACTTCGATGATTACGTAATCCACGCGGATGGTGACGTAATCACTGATGCACCGTCGCCGACCACGAGTCTCAGGGCTGAATCGGGTCACTTCCCATCAATCAGCTTCTTGTTCGCAAAGGCCAACTGGCGCTTCACCACAATCGTCCCCTGAGTGAGAGTCCACAGTACCAACTGTCGGGCTTCACTCACCAATCTTAGTCTCTCGCGACAACTTCTCGCCTGCGTCATCACTCGCCTCCGGTGTCAGCGTCACCACGGCCCCATGTCTTCCGGTACGTCCACTCTCTTACGTCGCTGGCCTCCCTCCGTTGCTAACTCGTGCCCTCCGTAGACAACGGCGCTTTCGTTGACCTCACGTCCTCGCCCTGCTCTTCTCCTCGCTCTGTCGCGCGCCGCGGCCCAGCCGTTGTGTCGACTGTCGAGCTGGCCGATCCTTCGCTGGACCTTGCCGGTGTGCGGGCCTCGCTGAGCGCGTTGCAGCAGGCCGTCGACCAGACCGAGGCATTGCGCGAGCTTCGTTCGAATCATGAGGCTCTGCGCCGCGAGTTTCTGGCTTCACGTCCTCGTGCGGAAGATCTGGATCGTTAGATTGCCGATGCAGCCAATGCTGCGTCTCCGTAAGTGCTCTTTTGTCAGCACAAGTACGATATGGTTCGCCACAAGCTGGAATCTACCCTGACGGAGCTCGCTGACTGCCTGAATGCGCTGCAGGAGCGTCTGGACAATTCTAGCGAGCTTGAGGCCTGCCGTCTTCGATATCGCGATTTGAAGCTCCGCTATAATGAAGCCGTATCGGAGTTCCACGATCGGATCTCCACCTTGGAGGCACAGCTGGCTGCCGCTTCCTCGTTTGGCGTGATCATTCCGCCCGATACAGCCCGTCGCATAGCTGATCTGGAGTTCCAGCTCGCACGGTCTCAGTCCGATTTACAAGTAGCGCGCGATCGACAGTCTGCCCTTGCCTCGGAGCTTCGCGAATCCACTACGTCCCACAAGACTGCTCAGGCCGAGGTGGCTCGCCTCGAGGCCGCGATCGAGCACAAGGTCCGTCGCCTCCGTACTCTGCGTGATAACTACGAGCGTCGCTTGAGGGTGGCCAACACCACGATCGTAACCCATACAGCAGAGCTCGGTCGCTTGCACGATCGGGTATCGACACTGGATCCGGACCTCCAGAAGGCTTCTCAGCGTGCTCAGGCGGCAATCTCTCAGCGTGATCAAGCCAGGGCGGCGCATATCGCTACCCGTGAGTACTGTCTGCATATCTTTTTCCGGTGTCGCACTAATTTGTATCTTGTGTCACAGAGGATCGTGTCTCAGCGGCTCGAGATAATATCGCGCGGCTGGAAAAACGAATTAACCAAGTCGAGAGGCCACAGAAATCGCGTCAGGATCTCGGGTCCGCGCTCGCCAAGCTTCAGCAAGAGAAGGATGCTCTGGCAGTTCAAAGAGATGAGTCGTTCGGCCAGCTTGGCGAGCGTTTCATGGAGGTCACCGATCTACGGGCTGAACGGCACCAGGCGCAGGAGAGGTTGTCCAACATTGCGTCCCTTCTCCCTTCTATGCTGAGCCACAAGCGAGCGCGCTCTGAGTCCGAGTCTCCGGCCCAGTCTACCCGTGTCTCCAAGGCCGCTCGATCGACTTCAGGTCCCTTCCCGGCTGGCGCTTCGAGTCATGCCTCTGCGTCTAGACCCCGATCGAGCTTCTGTCGGCCGTGGCTGCCGGCCGGAAGACTGAAGGGTCGGTGTTATCTCCTTCATCCACTGGTCCCCCTGATCGTCTTCCTCGATCTGTTCGATCGACCGCTAAGAGTGGTGGCGGAGGTGTTTCGTCGCTCCCTGTAGCTTCTGAGGCAATCGTGCATTCTGACAGTGACGAGAGCTCCTCCGGCGCATCCAGTTCAACTCACGTCTTCGATTCGGACGTCGCGAGAAACGACAGTGGTTCTCCGGAGTCGAGTCGCGCCAAGAACGAGTTTGGGATGCCATCCGGTCCTCTGTCGGACGCTGAGCTGGCGGCTTTGCAGCCTACTACGTTTCCTCGATCGGAGTGGATCCCCGGTTATCGCGATCGTCGCAGCTTTCGCGGCCACGACATCGTCC